TGTTTGCCTTGAAATTGTAGGTCGTTATGTGCTGGGGAAGGAGAAGCATGAAGAAATGTTGCTGAATCCATGTAACAAGTCACTTCTCCTTAGGGATAAATCTCAGAAAGGATAGCTGGGAATTTCTGCAGGTGCAGGATACCTGTTTTGTATGGAACAACCGTCCAGGGCACCAGTAACCCCCAGGAGGGAAGACACCCCCCGGGCAGGGCAGGGTATTCAGGGTCTGCTCTGCTGTGGTACAGGCCTTGCTGAGGAGGAAAGGTAGGGCTTTGTTATGGAGAGAAAAGAGTGTGGTTCTACCAAATTTCATTTAGAAATGCCTTCACCCCAGAGCCAGCCCTCCTCTCTCGGATTCCAAATCAAGTTTTGCTAGAATCTCTGGAGTGTACTCTGGGTAGAATCATTGGAAACTAGGACTTGTGCAGAAGAGCAGGGGAAGGCCTGTTTGAGGCTGTGTTTACAAAAGAACAGGGCATTGCTTCCATGGAGGAGAATGGTGTGATCGGTGGTGTCCTGATACCTCTGGCATTGTTTTGCTTTGGCTTGAAGTGTGGGTTTGGGTGTCTCCTGTTCATTGGTGGCATTTTTCCAAATTAGCATCTCTATGATTGGCTGCCAAGGAATCAGTTTCCTGTTTATTTACGCAAGCTAGCAACTTCCTACCCAGGGAGAAGGGAAGTGGGCCACACAGACTCCGACTTGCTGGTTTGGTGTTCTTCCGCTTTCACCTATCCTGCCACCACCAAATTGCCATGATCAGTTTCCTGTATCGCTCATGATGATACACACTTCATTCAGCTTATTCCTGACAAACGGGTGTTTCTGTCTTAGGCTACAGTGGGAGAAGTCCTGAGTGTGTGCACGTATGTGTGGGGTTAGCGTCATGCATCGCCCTTACCAGGCATGAGACCTAATGTAAGATAGTTTTAACTTTGTGAGCCTCCTTTTCCCATCTATGCAGCGGAGATTATGTCTATTCAATATTCCAGGACTTAATATACATAATGTGTAACTACGTATTATATACATTCTATATACACAGACATGCATGCATAAATATGTAAAATATCTGGCCTGTAGGATGCACTTATTAAATATTAGCATGCTTCCCCTTCTCTCTTTTGTTAAGGATCTCACAGGTAATCTTGCTGTCTGTCTCTATCATCTGTCAGTCATCTTTCTGTTACCTGTCTGTAATCTGTACCATCATCATCTCTATCATCTGTCTCATCTATCATCTGTTTTCGCCAAATCAGAGGAATTTGGTTGTTATGAAAGAAGAAAGGAAGAGTTAGCTATTAGACAGGCAGTACTGGGCTGCACTCTTGGTCTTTAAACATTATGGGCCAACCAGAGCAACATTTGAAAAAATATCCCTTTGCTCTGTCACTGTGTTTAAATTATACTAAAGATGGTCTAAGACCAAGTACACACATTAAAAATCCCAGATAACCTTTATTGGAACATTTCACAAGCAAGTTACAAATTTCTTTGCAACTACATAGTAAATCAAATGTTCATTTACAGCTCAGAAACTGTAAGCAGTTCTGCACCTCGGGCCCAGAGGACCTGCATCTGCAATAGAACTTTGTGTTTTAAAATGATAAACTTTTATTCCTTTTGTGTGTTTATGAAAAAAATCCATTTTATCTTGGGGGGACAAATAATATTTAACACCAGAACAGTGTTGCTATGTGCAGGACAATACAGAATAGTTTTTCATACGGCCTTCATTTTCAACTTTTTAATAATCTGAATGTATATTTCATTAGAAAGAATGATTATATTACTTCCTAAAGGAAAAGTGAAAGAAGTAGGAGAAAATGGAAAATTTCAGCATATACTTACAGTGCTTCTACGAACCACTTTTTCATAGGCTTCATACCTTCATAGTAAAATTTACTGCAGTCTTACTACATGTGTTGTTTCTCACGATGTTTCTCCTGACCAGCTAGTGCTTGGGAACCAAACAAAATGGTTCAAAGGCTTTGTCAAGCTCAGCAACCCTCCAGTGATTAGTGTTAAGATAGTGATGTACCATGAGCAATTGGAAGAGGCTTTTCTGCCTATTGAGTGTGATAAATATCTCAATTATTTCTGTTTAAGTTACAGACTTAATTATAGAATTTAAGTTCTTATTTGACATCCTTGTTCATGCATTCAATCCCACCATTTTTGTGTCTATGTATTTTGTATATGCTTTTATACAAATACAGTCAAAACTACAGATTTTTTTTCAGTAGTGGGCTAATCCATTAGCAATACGAAATGTCCTAAGGATGACATCTTGTACATAGCAAAAGACTTACTAATTGCTTTAGATGACAAATTGTGAGAGCATTTGTCATCCAATTATGAGAAATTCCAAATCTCAACAGCCAGTTGAGGAGAGAAGCTGGGATGCATCATCTTTGTAAAAGGGGTAAGCAGATGGTTAGATGATGATTATTATTTGTTACATTAACATTTAATAATGTCATTTGATAGCTAAATATGAAAGGTGTTTCGTTCTTTCTCCGCGCTCACCTTCCTCTCGGTGTGGTTTACCTGATGCTTCAGTCAGGTATATGTGAGCAGATTAATGTGCTGCATCTACAGGCTCTGAACCTGCTTGGAGAGGTTTCAGGGCATGTCTAGAGCCAAGCACAGCACATGCCCCCAAGGACCACTTTCTCCCTCAGCTTCCCTGCCCTCAGCTGGTTTCGCAGTGACGGGGTATGTGATAAGACATGAATATTCTCTGGGATAAGTGAGATATCTACTTAATCTGGTAGAAGCCCCTCACGTACCTGCTAGTAAGCTGTGGAAATACTTAGGAAAATTATGGTATCTTGTGCAGGAGAAATTTCTAAGATTCCAATTAGCTTAGAATAGGGTTAACGGTTCGTAATAGAAAGTTCTTAGAATTAAGAAGGTCTGGTTGGCCTGGGTAATCATGCTAACTGAGGCTTCCATCTAGGGGTGTCAGCTCTGAAGCAGGCATTCAGTATGGTTTTGCTGCAGAGCTGGGAGTGGCCCTGGGATACAGTGAGAGCAGCATGAACCCTGGAGCCAGATGGCCTGGGTTCTGGTTCTGGAGGCCACTTACCGTGGGCAAGCCATTGATTTTTCTGAGCATCAGCTTTTCTTATCTGTAAGATGGGGAAGATAATAATACTTGTCTCATTGGGTTGTTGTAAGAATCCAATGAGTGAACAGATATAAAGGATTTTGTACACTGTGGACACATAACCAGCAATCAATAAATGTACACCATTACTATTACCAGCTGGATTTTTGTACCTCGTTCATACATTTTTTTTTGAGAATCACCTGGATCGCGCATATATGGGTACAAATGCAAAAAACCCAGCATCAAACGTGACCTTGTTAATAAATTTTTAGTTGCTCCATATAAAGATCAAGACCCCATGTACTCATTTTGGATAAAATGTAGTATCATCTATTTTAAGAGGTTGCATGTAGATGGCTATTCCAGACATCAGACTTAAAAATGACATTTTGAAAATCTGGGATGAGGTAGCACAATTTCTAACAATTTTCTTTAAGAACCAAAGTCTTGTTTGGTACCTACCATGAAATCAGTTCGATTTATGCTGTTACCATGTTCAGGTTTGCAGGTGTTGGCGAGAACCACAGCAGGTACATCTGTCTGACATGATGTGCATCTGGGGGTGCTGGCAGTAGGGATGGTAACTTTTATCAATGGTAGAACACATTTGCATGTTCTTATAATCAGAAATAATTAATTTATCACATGTACAATGGGGAAAAAATGTAATTTTTAATCAACTAAGTTGTGGATGTACTAACACAAAGAAGTGCAGAAGGCGTTCAGTCAATAGAAATAAAACCCTCAGTCCTGGGCTCAGTAATTGGGAAAAGCAATTTCTGGCTCTTAATGTGACCTTTGCTTGCTTTTTTCAATAACTTGAACTAAAATAAAATTCATTGGGAAAAATGAAATAAACTTTTGATCTTACTTCTGCTGTCAGTAAACAATGTAAATGTGTCCTAACAAGTTCACACACATCCTGTGATTCAGGAAATGCTACCACTTTGGATTCTAAAAGTTGGTCTATTTCTTTTTTTTTTGGAAAGGATTAGAAAGAACAACACGACAGAAATATCTCTGTCCTGATATGAGCTCCACGAACAGAGAGAATATCAAAGCACGGGAAATTAAGGCATATTCTACTTGCTAATGAACTATGTACTTCACTCCCAGTTTTCTGGGTTCTAAGCTAAGCTAAGGTACCAGCTTGATTTGCAAAGTGCAGGAGAGCCTCCTGGCTTGAGAGAAAAGGAGGAGCCCGTACTTGTTTACTGGAGTAAACAGGTCACTCGTCACCTGTATGTCTCCCTGGAGATGGCCCAGGTCCCTGAAGGAGGACAGCTTCTGACTTGGTTAGCTGGCCTACCTGGGCATCTGAGGATGCTTCCAGCTTCTTCCGGGGGCAGCACTCTCCATCTGCCTTGTGGGAAGAGGGGAGTGAGGTCCACTAGGAAGACACAAGCCTTGCATCCTGTAAAGCCAGGAAAGGTCTTGTTCAGTGTGACTTGCAGGCTTGGTGCCCCAGCCCCTGAGCCTGCTCCACGCACTTCTGGAGAGCCAGCATGCCATGTCCAGGCTGTGGCACCTCCTGACTGAGCAACAGGACTTGTTAAAGAGAAAAAATGCCCACGTCCTGGGACTGCAGACAAATGATTGGGACTCTGTGTCATGTGGTCATCACACTGAGGACGCTCTTGCCCCTCTGCATGTGCAAGCATCTTAGAGCTGACTGTGGAAAGCTCAAATCACTCATGGTGGACAAGGTGGGAGCCTTGCCCGAGCTGTGAGCAGGTGCTTCTGGCTTTATGGACTCACTTATCTAACAAGAGATATACGGGGACCCCAAAGAGCCAGTCAAAAATGTGAGCCTGCACTAAGGCAAGACCCACATCAGCGACATTAGACACAACATAGAAATCAGAGAAAAGCTATTGTGCAGCAGTTTTAACCACCAATACCCATTTATTTTAATGGAAAAAAATCTGCATTTTATATGCTCCAAAAAGATTTACTATTGAAACAAATACAATATATGGAACTCTTTCTGAGTAATTTCACTACAATAAAGACAAGAAATGACTTCTACTTTCTCCAAAAGGCGAACTAAAAAGCACAGGTGCAAACATAGATTGCATAAGAAAGCGTGTGTGTGCACGTGTGTGCGTGTGGTTAAAACCTGTAGTAAGCAACTGCATTAAAATATGCTAAGACACTTACCTTACCCTAGTTGGTGGTGAGCTCTAATACAAAGCCACAGGCTAGTTTTATCTGATAGAAAAATTTGGTGTGAGCTTCGATGGTTCATTTACAGGTTATCAACAAGAAGATAATCTTAGTACAAGCACTGACTCCCTCTTCTACATGCTCACAGAATAAAAATCAATTACTTTTCATACATGACGAACATCTTTTATTTTCAGGTTTGCAAACAGTGGTAGTCAATTCACACAAAAGGGTACTTTTAAAACTACCTGTATTTACTCTATTTTATGTATGTATATATGAAACAAACAGTGTGTATGCATCAATGTATGTCTATACATGTGGGCCTCTATATGTATACACATGGTACCTGCTGGCTGCTTCAATATGCATGTATGGCCTCCAGGATGACATTGCAGTTGTACATACAGCGAGGAGGGAGAGATTCTCTACCACCATCTGTGTCCCCCTAAGAACCAGCAGCACTGTGCACTCAGGATACACGCAAATGCAGCCCTCTTCTCAGCATTTGATGGTCAAATTTCCTGCTCTGTCCCTCAGCACTTCCACTGAGGATCGTGGCACGTGACAGCAGTGAAAACGAGGTGTAGTGTTCATGCCCACGAGCAGGGACCTCCGCCTCTGCTCTCCCTGCCTACAGGCCCGCCGCGCTGGTGGCGGCAGGGGAGGGACTGCAGGGGGCGTGCACACGCATCGGCTCTGTGGTCTGCACTAGTGCTCCGCCTGACGCCGGGGGCCCGGCAGCTGTGGCTTCTCTCTCATCCTTGTTTAATCTCTCAAGGAAGAATGGTATATCAAAACTAGGCTTCTCCTGTATACAGTCTCTCTCTATAAACACCGTGTATATATACATACAGATACGCAGACATATACAAATACCAACCCACAGACAAAGCTGTCGTGTGGAGCGTGGACCAGCGACATGGCAATACATCAGAAAAAGGGGTCATTGTTCCTGCTCCCGGGAGGTCCAGTGTTATGCCATGATCTTTAAACAGCAGGGAAAATTCAGAGGATTCCACTAGTTAACAGAGAAAGGGAGATGCTACCAAAAATGATGAAGTACAGACTAAGTGAAATTGCAAAGAAAAGGAGAATCTGGAAGAATTGAGGCCTAGTTGTGAAGTTCGAGAACTGTAAACTGCAGTCTTCAGATTTGGATTTCTTCTTCTGCCTGTTGCTATGGAAACTTGGTAGTCAAGCTTTAGATGTCAGGAGTTCTCACAGATCTGAAGGGAAAAGATTCAGAGTTAAGGAATACCTCAATGTGAGTCAATGCATTTTAGCTACATATGGGAGAAATGACAGGCAAACTGTAATAAACACACTTGTAACCATTGCAGGATCTTGCAGAAGTTTTTTTCTTAAGCATAATAACATTTGAAGAGAGTATGCATAATTCTGCTGGTTTAGGTCTTAGAACACGCTAATGCCAGACATTGCATCTCCTACCACTGTGTACATTAGCGCAGAGCTTGGAGATTGGTAGCTTAGAGATTGATGATTATCCCAATTATTTCTTTTTGTCCCAGAGAAAAGCAAGATAGCTATTGGTCGCTCTTTAGACATAGCAGTTCCTACGGCTGCTGTAACAAATGGCCACAAACTTAACTGGCTTAAAACAACACACACTTATGCTCTAATGATTTTGGAGGTCAGAAAAATCCAAAAGGACGCTCAAATCAAGGCGTTGGGGCTAAACTCAGGTGTTAACAGAGCTGTGCTCCTTTGGGGGCTGAAGGAGGGGAGGCACCTTGCTGCCTTTTCTGGCTCCTAAAGGCTGCCTGTGTTTGGCTCGTGGCCCCTTCCTCCATCCTCATGGCCTGAGGTCGTACAAACTGGGGCTCTTCTCTACCATGTGCACCAGCCTGGAGTCCTCCACGCTGCCTGATAATAGAATGAATGGAAATAGTTCTGTTCTCCGCCTTTTTTTGCTTAACTGGTATTACATCTTGGATTTGTACAGGGAAATGGTACTACCAAGACTCATGTTACAATCAAAGAAATGAGAATGTGTAAAGGTCAACCTATGACATATCACATATGATCAGTATCTTGGAACATACTGATCCCTAGACTTGAATGGGTTACTCTGTAAAGCATGAGCCTTTTCATTTGAAACCCTTTGGGGGGGTGGATCTGCCTGTAAAACTCACCTACCCACTCTGCCCCCCATTGCTTTCAGAGGTTGAACCTGTCATTTATCAGTTTGGAAAATTTAAAGCAGTGTCTCTAAATTCTAGATAAAAAGTCTTTACAATGTGACTTGCATATAAGCAAGATGATATTGAGAAGGTTAAGGGTTAAAGTCATTTTAATAGAAAGGGCTGCAGAAATTAATACATAGCTCAGGTGCACATTTTTTGGTGGTGATTTTCTATAGCCAGCAGCCTTTATCTTGTTTGACAAGTGAATTCCTTTGCCGTTAGGAGTCTTAGAAACTTATATTCATTCCCTTTTCTCGTTGAATCTTTCATCTGCCTTGCGACCACTCCTGGAACTCTTTGGTTACTTGGGCTCCGGTAAACTGTAGCCTTCAAGTTCACCCATATTGGAAAGAATGTATTAAATGGCATCACGGATTCCACTTAAAAATATTTTCTCGTATGGTACTGATAAAACATAATAATTTTGGTCATTGAGAAAACAAGAAAAAAATTTTGGCTGAATAAAACCAACTAAATCAGAAAGTCTCCAATCCCTGGTCAAGTCAATTTAGACTGTCACGTAAATAATTCAACCTCCTAGGGCCACTGAGTCGATGACGTGACATAGTCTATGCAATTTATGGAAAGCCTTTGGCTTTGCATGTGCATGGCACACAGAAAACCCTTGGGGGGTGACTGTCACTGTCGCGAAGGGGCACCACTTCAAGGGGCCACGGCTCCTCTGCAAAGCATGACGTGGCACTATCCGCAGGCAGAGGACAGCCTGCCTTCCGTGGATTTGGTGCTTCTCCAGGCTTATCTCTGCCCTTAATACATTTCACAATAAAAAGGAACAAAATATCGATATACTCAATGACATGGATTGTATGATTCCATTTATAGAAAATTCTAGAAAAGGCAAGAAACTAATCAGAGAAGGCAGATCAATGAGGGTCTAGATTGGGGAAGGGGATCAATAGCAAAAGGGTATCTTGACTGTGGTGTGGCTACACAATGGTGTAGTTATCAAAGTTCATCAAACTGTACACTTTGGGTGAATTTTATGGGATGCAAATAATGCCTTCATAAAACGTATTTGAATCCAAAGTATTTTCAGTGGCTGTTTTTTGCTTATCTTGGCCACCTCTTTAAACGTCTTCACTGTAATTGGGTTACAATTTGATTCCCTCCTTCCCAATGTAGAGAAATTCAATTGTGGTATTTAACATGTTTCCTCTGAGCTGTCCTTTTATATTCTTGGTCTTGCTGATTAAATAGGCCTAAACCAATGTTCAGAAAGGTTTCCGGACAGTATTCCTCCTTGACCTTGCCCATGTCACACTGCCCAGACAGCCTGATGGAGATGCTGGCTTGCCTCACTGGGAAGATCTGGGGGAGTTACGCATCCCCCCAAGGTCACCAACACGTCACTTAAAGAATAAGCTGGGCAGTAAAAATAATTTCATTTACATTTGTCTATTACTTTCAATGTCATTCGTTTTATTTCTTTTATTTTTAGATGCCAAAGAAGAAAGGGCAGACCCCTCAGTTGAATTCCCAGTTACAATAAAGCCATCTACATGTCATCATACACTGAAATGCTTTGATTAAGGGAGGCAGGCCAGTGGTGAATGCTGGCCTCACTGCTGACTCCCCTGGGGAACTTTCTGAGCATCAGTTTTTTCATTTACAAATTGGGATAAAATCACTAGGCTGATGAAGAAACTGAAAAAGCCACAGAACATCAGGATGTTTGGTCAATGCTGGTCTACTGGGATGTGAATATTATTGAGGGGAGGAGAAAAACACATTTTTTTCTTCCCATGTTGTAGGACGTGATCACTTAAGTTTTATGAATAATGCTTTAAAAAAAGCACTGTCACACATTCCCTGTAAGGGACTGGATAGTTAATATTTCCAGCTTTGCAGCCCATATGGTCTGTGACACTTATTTACCAGTTCTGTTGCAGCACAAAGCAGCCACAGACAATATACAAATGGATAAACATGGCTGTGTTCCAATAAAACTTTATTTACAAAAACAGGAAGTGGGCCATATTCAGCCCTGGGGTAGTAGTTTGCTAAATCCTGATTTAAAGAAACAGCGAATGGATTTTATCAGACCCCACAGTTCTTTCAAGGGCTATGGCTGAGTCAGAAAGTTAACTTTATAACCTATTTTCAGTGCTTTTAGGAATCTTCCCCCCAATCTTAATGCTTTAGGTCCATTTCTGTGCAGTGTCTTGTCAACATCATGTTAAAAGCTACACAGGTGGGTCGGACACTTGGACTTCTGCTTGCTCTAATCCTGTTCCTCATCTGTTTCTTAGTTACATCCCCTTTTGTTAGGAAGGACATCTTGGGCTAGAGGTATAATAAAACAAGAATCCTGTTGGCAGGCTCTAATGTTCAAGTGCACAATATTAGATAGTCTCACGCTTTTATAGAGGGCCAGATTGAGATTAGTTTTGAAGTCAAACAGGGGAGTGGTAATGCCTGCTCTGAACTGTTATTTGCGCTAGAACTACCTGTCTTGTGGCGTGAAGCACTGGAGAGGCGGCTGCGCTCTTTCCAGCTGTGTAGGGAGAGTCAGCTCCTTCCGGAGGAGGATCTTGGCTTTACCTACAGGCGTCCCCACCTACACTGCGGTGACTGTGTGGTGGTAGATAGGACAGCTCTCCACTTAGGGGAGAACGAAAGGCACATCTGAGATCTCAGATATAGTGCACCTGACTTTTCTCAATGAGATTATTTTGAGTATAAAACGAATACGTGTTCTTTAGGAGTTATCAGGCAATTCTGCTTAGATGAACTGCAATCCCAGAGCTCCACTGAGAGAAATGAGAAGCAGGCAGTCTTTGGGAGCCTGCTCATCATTGATATCTGGAGGCCAGGGGTGTCTGAAGTAGGGTACACAAGGAAATCCCTCGTTGGTAAGAAGAAAATACCGCCACATCTATTTACATTCCTTTTAATCTAAACACATAGATTATTAACTGATATTTAATATATGGCTGTATAATAGCAGACATGTATTATTATAAAAATATTGTGTAAAAATATACAAGCACTGGGTCTGTGTGCTGGAAGCTACTGTCACCTGGGCAGTTGGTCCTACAGGCTGGGATGGCCTGGGATGTGTATTTTAACAAGCAGAGGTAGGAAGGCTCCCTTTAGAAAAGTCACTGGCATCTGGAGATGCTGGTAAGTGAGCGATGTCCTGCACTGCCTCGGTTCTTCAACGGAATGGCACCGAGAGTCAGGCTTTGATGTCATGTAATTGGATTTATAGACAGGTCATTGGATTTGGTGACAGGTGAGTGGCCACTCAATTTTCATGTCCTGGTGTACACATAACAATGCGTGTGCACACATGCACACTTGGACTTCACATAGGAAGTACCCTCTGGTTTATCCAGACCTTGCTGTAAGTGAGTTCTAACTGCTCTGAGAACCCAGACCCAGTGCTGGGCTTGCTGTCTGTGTAGCACTCAGTCGAGAAGCTGGTGGGAGGCAGGTTCCAGATGTTCACCGCAAGAGTGGCTCACAGCAGGACATGGTAAGCAGTCCTGATGTGTCTGTTAATAGAGGAATGTAGGCACCATATTTGTGCAACGGGATACCCCCTCGCAGTCCTGACCCCGAGCTGGGGTGAACTGTGGCTGTGGGGCCAGGGTGTGTGCATGGCTCCGGAACTAAGAAGAGCCTTCACACTTTTGAGGAATGGCGAAAACAGAAGGCAGAGACCAAAAAACCAGCAAAAAAAAGTATTTGCTGCTTGGCCCTTTCTGGAAAAAGTTTGCTGACCCCTGAACTAGAACAATGTAGATGGATTTTGGAGATGTGTTGTGGAGAGGGAGAGAAGCAGATTGCAGGACATTATGCTCAATAATAATACGAATTATATAAAGTTTTACAAACTGGAAAAACAGATCTACGTGTGCGCGTGTGCACGTGTGTGTGGGGGTAGTAGGCATATAAAACAACATCTGGACACATGCTACCTCGTGACATCTCTTGTCTCTAGGGAGACTGGGAAGTGAAACTGGGGAGAGGAACATGGGAGATTTCACCTCTACCTGCAGTGTGTTAGTTCTTAAAGAAAAAGGAAAGACGACAGAGGAAAAAAGAAAGAAAACACAAGAACAAGAAAGAGAAGCATTTTTTCTTTCCTTCCTTCTATCCATCCATCCTGTGAGCCCCTTCTCACTATAAGGTCTTATCCTCCTTTGTTCTGCCCCAGGACGCTGGCCCAGCACAGAGCTTTATACACTGCTGATGTCCCATGTTAGAGAGTGTGATTTCCTGGTGACCCCCACTTACCACTGTCACCACGATGTAATAACTTCTGTTCTTTATTTTCTACCCATTCATTTCTCAATTTCCTAATTCACAATTACACCAATAACCTCAACACATAAATACCAAGGCCCAAGAGGCTTTTGAATGGCATTAGCTATAGTGAAGAATTGCTAAGGTTAAAATTAGACTACGACTCGAGGCACAGGAAATGTCTGATGCACGTATCTATTCATTTTATGCACACAGTGTATTACTAGGCATAATAACTCGTTTGTTTAAAATAATGCTTCATTATAGTCATTACCACCACTCAGTGGAAAGAGCGTGTGGATTAAACCTTTCTCTCTTTTCCTACAGCTCAGCCTCTGTCCATGAATGCTCATGACTCTTCTTAAAAAGGCGGAGTATCTAACCTTGCAAAAGATGATTCTGCACAATGCAGGGAGAAATAAGGCCCTGGCAGACTAGTTTACTCATCTGGGCATAATTTTTGTAACTCAAGCTCTGGCATCGGCAGGAAGTTTATTTTTTTTACCCCCTGGCCTGTAGGATAGCAAGGGGGGCCTTTGCACCGTTCCTCCCCGACGGGGGGCTGTTCCAAGGCCTTTAAACTGCAGGTGGGGCGCTCTCACCTGTGAAGCTTTCTATTATGCAGACATAAACGAAAGCTGAATGGTTCTTCCGGGGTAAATTTTTTGGGGGAAGCTATCTGGGGAGAAAAATGGCTTCAGTGAAGTCACGTTCTCGCACGGGGCACGCACGGGAGTCAGGCCGACTTACGAGCCAAGCTGAGCAGAGGGAGGAGCAGGGCCGGGGCGGCGCCGAAGCGCGGGGCCCCCGCGGCGTTGCAGTCCACCCTGGAGTTCCTGCAGGAGCACACGTGCACCCTGAGGTCCGTGACGTTGGTCATGGGCGGCTTCCCTGAGTCTGTCACCACGATGGGCAGCTGGTAATTCGCTTTGTTCAGGTTTTGAAGAAGGCTCACCAGGGCGTGCGTGTCTGTGAAGACAAGGAGGGACTTCGTGAGGGAGGGTCAGCCTTACCCAGTAAGCGTGAGGCATTGTGTCTAAATTAAAATTCATTCACATCAAATATACATTCAAATTCAGTCCCTCAGCTGCGCTAGCCACATTTCCAGTGTCCGGCCACCATACGTGGCGGGGGGCTACCATGCTGGACGGTGCCAGATAGAACGTGTGCGCCCTGGACGTGTTTCACCAGTGGGGCTATTATAACCAGCTTTGAGGGCATCTACTTTGGGTGAAGATGACAGAGTATGAGAACTCCTCCCTGCAAATGTATTTATATGATATAGGCCCCTTCACAAAGACCACATGCAGCATCTAGAAAAGCTAACTTAAAAATCTCCCTTCAAACCTTCCCATTGTCTGTCTTTAAATAGACACAATTTTTATTGGTCAATTACACTTCAATAAAGCTGGAGAAGATGAGAAAAGGAAAGAAGAAATGATCAGTTCAGAGTATTTTTATGTGAGAATCCAAATGCAAACAATCAAAAGAAATCCTTGGACCAAAAAAAAAAAAGAAAGACCCATTCATTGTAAATGTGGGCAGGACCCCTGTGTGTGGCCATGGGGACGGGTCCATAGTCTAGCGTTTGCCAGTCCTTGGCCCACAGCCCTGGCTGTGGATGGGACTCTGTGGCACAGCCCTCAGCATGGAGATGGGAACCTTAAGCCCTTGTTTACTGGGAATACCTGCCATTACCCAGGCCTCTGGGCAGCCCTGAGAAGTGGCCACTCGGCCTGGCCACTGTTTTCAGCCTCGGGCTGTTCTCTTTGCAGTCACTCAGATGATTAGGTTTTTTTTTTCTTCTTTTTACATTGCCCCTTTCTGGGCATAAACAGTGCTAAGTATTCAGAAAAAATTTGGGTTGAGTAAAAGAACTCTAAAGGCCTTTTATCTATTAAGTGTAAGCAGGAGGGAAAGCAGAATGTGATGACACGTAAACGAAAAGAAGTGAAGTATTCCACCCAGAGGTGAGGGCAGCAGAAATCACCAATGTAGATAATTACCCCAGCGAGACGGCAGAGTAGTTCAAGGAACATTCTCCAATCTCCCTTGACTAGAGGAGAAACTCCCGAATGAGAAAGTTCCGCCTGGACAGAACTGGTGATAATTATTCAAATCAGCTGCAGCCACAAAAACTAGCAAATGAAACGCTAACCTCTCAACCAAGAGAAGGGCTGTTTTAATTAAAAATAACCAGTGTAACAGAATTCATTCTCTAAAAAAAGCAATAAAATAGACAAACAGGCAAATAGAATCAATAACAAGAGAAAGGCATGAATAAAAGGAGATATGAGATAAGGCCATAACACATATGAGATTTTTTAATAGAAAATTTTATGCACAGTTGTACAATATATTTTCAAAACTTAATGAGACGGATAATTCACCATTCCTCTCAAAAGTTCTACATCTGATGTAAGAAGAGGCTCTGGTGGCTGGGCTGGGTCAATCGCAGGCTAAGTTCATTACTGTAGACAGAGTGCCCGTCTAATGTGTGGGTGCTGGGTTTTGACTTTATTGCCAAACCAAGGGAACTTAGTGGGGAGGTCACATTTATCATGGGGGGATGCAGGCCAGCTGTTGTGGTTATAGGGATCCTCATAGTTCAGTTCCTTGTGTTTCCATCTTGGTAAGGCAGATGAAAACGCTGGGTCAAGTTTTGAGTTCCACCTGCCCACATGGAAAGAAGGGTAGGAAGGCACATTGCTTGCAAATTTCATAGACAGACAGGGCAGATGGGAGAAGATACGAGAGTCTAAGGTGAAAGCCAAGGACAGCGGAGAAGAGCCAAGGTCATTAGAAGGACTAAGCCCTTTCAAGGAGGTCCGCAGCATACATGGAGGCAGGATTAGAGGTTAAGACTTTCCAAAGATTCTTACACTAGGGTTCCTTTTTTCATTAATCTTTTATGAGAATGAGCACCTCATGCTGGTGAAAGTCGATGTCGTAAACACAGTTCTTTGAGAGGAGAGACAGCTGAGTCAAGGTAAGCGTAGGGAGAGGCAGAGACCCTGGGTGTGGAGGCTGAGGCCTGAGTGTGTCCAGTATAGAGTGTCCAGGAGAGAAAAGATAAGAAGGTGCAAACAAGAACACTTCTATTGATAAGGAAGCAAGAATTAACATGTTTACAAATTGTATTCATTCGCAGGTGGGAAAATTGTCAGTAGTTGGAACGCGTGAGTAACTTGAAATGAACCCTGTGGGGACACACAAGCGGGAAGGAAAGGAGACGCAGTTTGGGGAAATAGGCCACACCAGGGAAAGTAGGCTTCAAAGCCGGAATAACTGTAGGCTGTCGAATTGGACTTACTGTTGATCTTGGAGATTTTCCAGACTTTATCCTGAACAGTTTGCTTCTGGATTTCAAATTTGAAAGGATCTGTATTTGGGTGAAGATCCTTATCTGACGCTCCCAGTATGACTACACTGAGGTTTTTGGCATCGTCGCAGACTTCGGCCACCGTGGGGTAGATAAAGGGCGCGTTGTCGTTCACGTCTTCCAGGGTAATCAGCAAAGTTCCAGTCCCCGTAGCAGGAGGGTTGCCTGTGGGGAAAGAGTGAAGAAGTCAGGTGGCAACTGGGATAATGCAAGAGTAATTTCCCACAGCACTGTTCCCCCCCACGTGCCAGACACCTTTACTATTGCTAACGGGTTTGAAACAAGCGCTAGCAGTGATAGCTTACATATCGGCATAAAGGTTCGTGGTTTACAAAGCCTTTTATCATATGTAAGACTTTTAAGTTCTTCCGGCTTTACCTTTAGGATGCTAAGCTTTCAACAGAAGTTATCCTAATACACTGAAAGCCACTCAAAGAATGGAGATGACAAACAGGACTGTCCTGTTTACCAAATTAAACCTCTTACGGAAATACCCAAGTATTCGCACCTGTTGACGGGGTAGGGCGGATGCAGACTGCATGGGAGAAAACCTTGCTTTATAGGGACCGGCTCTCTACTACCTGGGGAGTTGGTGGAAGAGAGAAAGATCTAATCCAGGGTTTTCTTTTGCAGGTGAAAAAGGGTCTGGGGTGGTTGATGGTGCCTCTGGAGCTGGCGTGGCCGCCAGCACAGGACAGATTTCGGAAGGTGGGTTAGTTATGGGAAATGAAATCACTAGCTGGATACTGGAGCAGCAGAAGCCATCCTAATAGCATCTTTGAGCCTTATTTTAATAGCCTTGCTTTTTTCAATATTTCAGCTACTTCCTGAAATGTTTTTCATTTTAGGGCACATTATTTTAAGAAGCCCTTGCAATCACCTATGCAATAAGGTCTTTCACTTCAAAAAAGGGTGTTTATCTTACTAAGACCCAGTGTGACTTTATTTACCTTTCTCTAAATTCATTTGTAATTATCTGTGCATTAGACAGTTGCTCTTGGGATGAACCATTCATTAACGGTTCCTAATTTTCTGTGAGAAAAGTTAGAGCCAAATTTGCAGGCCACAAACACTGAGTGTATGGATTTGCTTTATTCTGAAAGGATTTACTGCACCTCTACAATTAGAGTACTCCCGTTTCGTGCACCAATATTAACCGGATGTCTGGCTCCATTTCTTTTTTCCTGTCCTCATTTCTACATAACCAGATTTCCAAGTGTAATTTTATTTTATCTCACACTATGTTCATTCTTTCAAATGCACAGTAAGTTTAAAGTTATGAGTCACAGGGGGGTAAAGCACAGCAAATCTTTGAGTCAGAGGGTAAGTGTTAAGTCCAAGGCAAGGCAAGGCAAGACCTGACAGGTTCTGTTGGCAAAGAAAGACGTTTTTTTTTACTTTCAGGCATTTCATTACTTACATGGACAATAAAAGGACAGGTAGACACAGGTGGGTCTGGTGCTGGTGATACCAGAACACAAGGGGCGGGCTGACTGCAAACGAACGGTCACCCTGCTGCTGCGGAGCCAGGTTTAAGCTGCTCTTCCCCAGCTCTGCTGTCTGCAGCTGCACCCAGGAGGGCAGGCAGGAAGCCTCACCCCTCGAAAGGACCCCGAAGGCAAGTGGGGAAATGGACGGTAGCTGTGCCCACAGTTCTGGGAGGATCACGAGACATCTGCCAACCCGCAAACTGGCTGTGGCTCCAGCCCACCCCCTGGGCCCATGTGGGTGCAGAGTCACTGGGTGCTGGAAGGAGGGCAAGGTGTTGGGCTGGAGATGTCCGGTAGGGCATGGGGGCCTTGACCATCAGGACAAGTCACTTGTACTGATTGTGCGGATGGCACAAAGCCACCAGGGGTTTTCAGAAAAGCAGTGGGACGATCTGATCTGACTTATGTTTAGAAACACACACGGGTAATGATGGGAGAGGTTGACCATTGTAGGAGGGAGACCGGCCATAGACTGAGTTATGCTGTGGGCAGTTTGAACAGGGAAGAAACGTCTCATCTTGGCAATGAGGCTGCCAGAGGGCAAGCAGAAGGCAGTGTGGGGGGGGGGAAGGATAGGTTCAGCTGTGACTGCGCTCAGAGCCCCTCACACTCAGGGCAACTGCGTGGATGTGCACGTGGCTTAGGTGAAATGCAGGGCTGAGTTGGTGACTAGGGAGTCGTTGACATAGATGGTTTTGAAGCCTTTCTAGCAAATTAGGTTGCCCAAGGGGAAGTGCAAACAGACAGAGGGGTGGAGACCTAGGAACTCCCAAAATTTGAAGAGCAGATGATGGTTTTCAGAAGACATAGGAAAGATGAATTGGAACAGGAGGTAATGTCAACTGTTACATGTGCTATCACCACCCAGAAGGATTTAGGAGTAAAGAGAATAATAGGATTTTTCAAAGAGCATGTGACTGGTGATCTTTTGGGAGAGGTGTCCACTAAGGGGGAAGAACCCAGCTTGAAGGAAGCTGAACAGCGAGTCATGAAGCAGGGAGAACAGATACCCTTTAGTGAGGCTGGTGGACATTGAAATGTATCAACACCAAGGATAGTTCTAGAGTGAACATTTGAATAAATATCTACTAAAATAGGAACTCACGGGCAGTTAATCGTCAGAGGGATGGCTCTTTCTGATGGTGGTGTAGCATCAACTTGTGTTGGGACAGAACTCAAAGGAAATGCTTAATTACTTTGAAGTTGGTTTTTCCCTGTCAGCTTTAGTCATTTGGTTGGATTTCTTTACTGAAAAATTATTTTCTCTTTTTATTGAAATAATTGAAGCTCTCAGAGGAATCCATTATGTTTTTTCATTCTGAATATATTATGAAGTAAAGTCATTTGGTAGAATGGATGAGAAGGCATTATGAGTATTTGAAATATTATGGCCATAAGAATCGGCCTTTCGTGAACTTAATTATACTACTGTCTTCAATTCCCTATGTGTTATTTCCTGGCCAGGCTGGGAATGTCTTCTTCAGAAGTCAAGTAAAATGAGATGTTTTTCTTGTTGATAAGGTAAAGACTGGATTCTCAAAATCCTCCGGGCAAGAGTTTCTCCCAGTTTACATGCACAGGATGGAGAAAAATCACCATCCAAAATTCAAATGTAATCCAAAATGTAATGATTCTTCACAAACTCTTTTGATTCCAATAGTTCCAGGGTCTCAAGAACTATGGGAGCTTCTAGGCTTTTCCAGCGCTCAGCAAACCCCTGGCCCCTTCTGTTCCCTTTCCCATCAGCAGCCCCCAGCCCCCAGTGACTATTAAGTATAACCCGTATCAGAACCTGCACACAGCTGGGGCGGCTCCCTCCTTCACGGACTTCCTGTTTCCACAGTGAAAAAGCCTCAGTTTGAGCAGAAGGCTTGGGGCTCTGGAGCCAGAACCATACTTCCTCTTACTTGTGGCTCCCGCAGAGGAAGCCCACAGGCCCCACTGTGGGGGAGCTGCTCTCAGGCTCAGAGAAGTACAGCTGGTGCAAATGTGGAGGGATTGCCTGCGTGTGCAAGGACTTCCATCTGCCTAATGTCACATGTGAGACGTGACATGAATCATTCCTGTCAGTGGGTCTTAGATTGAATGGGAGGTGGGTTCCCCTTTAGGAGTGTGATGAAGGTCATGGCCTCGCCTCCGGGGAAATGGCACCTGCGTGCACACCGAGGGGGCTGCAGACGGGAAAGTGCAGCCGTACGCCTGGTGCATTCAGAGGCTGGTCTGGGTCACCTTCCTTTAAGGTGTGGTGAGCCTGGGGCCCAGCAAGGTTTAGGATGGGCTCAGATTAACCTGGTGAGTCTCAGGCATCATCCTGGTGAAGGTCAGGTCGACCTTCACCTCCTGCGTCCGAACTTCTACCCTGTAGCTTGAGTCTTACGGGCTCCCATTTCAACCATGACAGCAAACGAAACTTCCTGTACCATGATTGGGTTTTTTCCTAATTTCCTATATCTTATTTCTTATGAGCTACTGTTTACTGTGATAAAATATACATAATGTAACGTTTACCATTGTAACCATTTTTAAGCTCACTGTTCAACAGCACTGAGCACACTGACATTGCTGTGCCATGTCGCCATCATTCATCTCGAGACTTCGTCGTCCCCAGCGGAGACTCCGTCCCCATTCAACAGAAACTCCCGGTTGCCTTTGCCCCCAGCCTTCATATCTCGGGCAGGTTACTTGGCCTGTAGCTCTCGTGCTGCCCAACGATTCCTTCCTCTCTGAACGATTAGCCTCTTCCATCCGGAGGCCTGGGATCTCCGACGGCAGAGGCGCTCTGACCTGCGCCGGCGGGTCCCTGCCAGGGTCCTCCACCACTGCTTGCTCCTGGCTCTGGCTTGGCGCTACTGCTCAGCACTGTCAGCGCGTGCAACACGTCAGCCCACGACATGACCCAGACAGCACGGGGCCCAAGCGTCCCCACTGCTTGATCTCAAACCCAGGCAATTTAACTTGTGTTTCTTCACTTTGGGAACTGCCTGTGAGGTGCTGTGGCCCGTGCTCAGCACCAGGCCTGGTCTTACCCATACTGTTGCCGGCCTGGCTGAGCTGTCAGTCTGTTGGGTTCATTTTTTTGTTCTTGGGCTCTTGGGCCGTAGGTTTAGTGCAGGCAGAGCTGGGCATTTCTAAGAGAAGCAGGAGAAGGCAGCTAATGAAAGGGGAGGATTTTTGTAGAGAAAATGAACACCTGTTGCTTTTCAGAGTAGGAAGAGTCCGAGGAGACTAGATGTTGCTGCTTTGAGCACATGGGGTCCTACTTTCTAGTTTTCCCTGACTTTCTAGAAGAGGCAACTGGGGCTTAGAAAAAAGTTAAGTAACTTGTGCAAGGCGCTGTAACACTGGTGTGCACCTGTTTGGGAGCTAGGGCCTGAAGGCGCCCTGTCCCCATGCCACGCGCTCTCAGGGCTCCAGGCCGTGAGCGGACTGACTGGTGATTGTAACACAGCCCACCGTCCGAGCCACACTGCTTGGTTCAGAGTTCTAGTATTTTGCTACTTGAGGTTGGCATCAAGCATTGGTAGAAGGGGTAAAAGAGTTATCTTCTGTGCTTGACAATATGTTGCTTTTTATGGGAGGTCCACACAGCTAAAACCAGTACCCAAGGAAACATGGATCATACGTGGGACTCCCGGCGCCACTTAGATGCTGTGAGTGTGGATGTAATGACAAACA